TGTCTATTTTCTCCCCTCAGGGAGATGATCCTTCCCTTTTATAAGATCTCCAAAGAGGTGTGACCCCAACAAAGGGCTGGGAACCACTGAGACTCTCTGTCTTTAACAAACCCCTGAAGACTTGGGAGAAGTGCAATTTCAGGAACTGTTGGAATACTGGAGGGAAGAGGGGCCATGAGTGGCTGCTCTTGTCTCCTGGAATCACAGTGTGTTGGTGTTCACATGCAGTCCCTCTGCTTTTTCTTGCGGAGACTGGGGTGACTCACCGCCATTTGCTCCTGTGAGCCAGCTCCTCCTGCGAGGGCAAGGCCAGTGCCCTGGAGTTTCATCGGCTGCAGGATGAGTCCCAGCGCACCTCACATCCCAACCATCTCACTCACCATTGCAGAGCCCGGCCCCCTGGCCACCCTTGCGGTGTGACGATCACTTTTGCCTGCTCTGCTCATCCCTTTGTCTGACCCTATCTTCCCAGCCCTTCTCCATGCCCTCCGGACCTCCTGCTCCATCACTGGAAACCTCTGTGTTCCCTTCATCTTCCTGTAACAGAAGCATGGCTGTCTCCTGACACCGTTTCCCTCGTGGCCATCTCCAGTGGTGGCTGCTCTTTTTTCCACACACTGTATTCTGAGGGGCCTGGAGGTGGGTCCGGGTCATTCTTGCTCCCCATGACCACATCCAAACTGCCTCTCTTCTGTGGCCCTTCAGAAGCCCTAGCCCGTTTGCAGTGTCTGTCATCTTTCTTTACCATCCCTTTTCCCTTCTTGGTGCTGCTGGCTACTGACCACCTCCTCAGTCCTCACTTTCCTGATGCACCTGGCTCAGACACTCCCTCCTGCCATTCCTGTCTTCAGCATCTGTATATATTAACGGTTCATGCCCTTGGAGGCTTTTGGAAATGTATGCGGTTGGTTTGTTTATTTTGTAATGTAGTTGTGCTCCAGCATTTATATTGAAATATATATTGTTTTGTTATGAATGATTTCCTCTGTGTTTTTCTTTACATTAGCTGTTAGGGTATTGTCTTAGTCTGTTTTCTGCTGCTATGACAGAAAACCAGAAACTGGGTAATGTATAAACAATAGAAGTTTACTGGGCTCACGGTTCTGGAGGCTGGCAAGTCTAAGAGCATGATGCTGCATTTGGCAAGGGCCTCATCCCATGGCAGAAGGCAGAACGAGGAAATGCGAGCACAAGGCAGAAGAAATTGAGCCAAACTCATTCTTTTACCAAGATAACTAACTCACTCCCAAGATAACGGTATTAATCCATTCATGAGGGCTCCGACCTAATCACCTCTTAAAGGTCCTGGCTGTTAACACTGTCACAATGGTAATTAAATTTCAACATGAGTTTTGGAGGGGATATTCAAACCATAGTGGGAATTGTATTAATTTTTTTTTAAAAAAGAAACCATAGTAGATTATAGTGTCTTATGAATTTCATTTCAGGATAGGAAAGAGGACATTGAAATATATTTGTTATAAAAAGGGGGAATTTGGTCTGACAGCACTGTGCATGGCTGAGGCAGATAATCTATTCAACTCCTTGGCTTCCCAGTTATTACAATGATCTTTTCCTCTAGCTCACCTCAGCCCCTAAACAAGTGGTCACCCCCTAGAATCATCATCACCAGTCACCACATGACTCCCTAAATCTGGATTTAAACAACCCACTCTCTGACCATCATCCCCCAATCTCAGTAGTTCACCAACTCCAGCAATTCTCCAACCTCATAGAGACCTCCTGGCACTGACTCTATCACTTTCCATTTTTCATTGTTCCTTATTCCTTTTGTGTCCCCACTTCCTTCCTCCCCAGCTTAGGCTCCATGGTTCATCTTGACCACTCCCTTGCAAACATGCATAATTCTCATGTCCACTTGTCTGGAAAAACAGTCCATGGTACTTAAACCCAATTTTCTTCTTACTCCACACATGCCCCTGAGCAAGCAGTTGAAGGTGTGGGGGAAAATCACACAGCCAATGACTAGACTCATGACAGATTTATGGCCACAAATCTCAAAGGGACACTCACCACAGTGAGGTAATTGTACGTATCTCTCTTGTAAATTCATTCTCCTACTTTCCAAGATAATTATTTCCCACTTTCTCCTCTCTCCACAAATCTTCAACACTTCCTCCCTTATCCCTTCCACCTCAGCTGGTGACTTCATGAGAGACAAAGAGGCATTTGGATTAGAACTACCTGATTTTCCCACTATCACTTCTATCATCCTACCTCCATCTGTGGCCACCAAGCCAATGGCCACTTATCATTTTACTTGAGCTGATCTCTCAACAGTATTTAAAAGAGTTATCACACTCTCTTTCTTGAAACACATCATTCTCTAGACTTCTGTATCTCCGCACTTGCTGGTCTTGCTTCTACCCCATTGGTTGCTTCTTCAGAGCTTCCTTTTTGGGCTCTACCCCACCAAAGCCTCCAACAAAACCCTAAATGTCAGAAGCCCAGGGCTCTGTCATTGGCCCTCTTTTCTCCCAAGATTTCAGCCATTCCAAAGGGTTCAAATTCCACCTGTCTTAGTCCATTTTGTGCTTCTATAAAGGAATACTGGAGACTGGGTAATTTATAAATAACAGAAATTTACTTCTCATGGTTCTGGAGGCTGGGAAGTCCAAGATCAAGGTGCCAGTATGACTTGAGGGCCTTCTTGCTGCATCCTCACATGACAGAAGGCAGAAGGGCAAGAGAGACAAACTCCCTCTGTCACGCTCTTTTATAAAGGCACCTAATTCCATTCATGAGGGATGAGCCCTCATTGCCTAGTCACTTTTTAAAGGCCCCACCCCTTAATACTATCACATTGGCAACACCTGAATTTTGGAGGAGACACATTCCAACCATAGTGCCACCTCTATACCCATGACTTCTATTTTCAGACCAGACTTATCTTTAAGCTTCAGACTCATGTATCCAATTGCCCACCTGACCCTTACAGTTAGATTTCTATCAGACATTTTAAATTTACCATAACCAATATATAAATATTAATTACTGAAGTAGGCTGAGCAATGGCCCCCAAAGACATCCAGGCTCTAATCTCTGAACATGTTAATGTTACCTTATATGGAAAAAGGGACTTTGCCAATGTGATTGATTTAAGGATCTTGAAATGGAAAGGTTATTCTGGATTATTCAGGTAATCCCTTAATGTAATCACAAGCATTCTGTAAGAAGGAGGCAGAAAGAGATTTGACCCGACAGAAGAGAGCATAAGATGTGACAACAGAAGAAAGAGGCTGGAGTAATGCAAGGAACAGGCAAAGCATGAAGGCAACTTCTAGAAGCTGAAAAGGCAAGGAAAGATGCTCCCCTCAAAGCCTCCAGAAGGTGCCCAGCTGACCCCTTCACTTTAGCTCAGTGAGACTGATTTTAGACTTCTGATCTCCAGAACTGTAAGAGAATACATGTGTGTTGTATTAAGACACCAAATGTGTGATCATTTGTTACAAGCAGCAATAGGACACTAATACAGTCACAGCCACCACCACTACATAAATCCATATCCCTGACCCTGGTGCCCTCCACATCCCCGCAAACGGCACCCCTGTCTATGCAACTGATGAGGCCAAAGCTTCAGAGTTCTCCAGATTTTTCTCTTCACTTACACCTCACCTGTCAAGCCTGCCAGCTCTACCTCTAATACCCATTCTGACTCCAACGATCTCCCGCTGTCTCCACTCCTATGACCCAAGTCTAGGCTGCAATCACTTCCAGCCTGAATCACTACATCCCTTCCTGCTTGGTCTTCTGCCCCTACTCTTGTCCCTCTTCAGTTGATTGTTCCCTCATGAGCCAGAGGGAACTTTATGAAGGTCACATCATTCCCCCTTTTAAAACCTTTCAATGACTTCCCATTATACTCAGGAAGAAATACAAATTCCTTGGCATGACCTACAAGGCCCTATAATAGATTGTCCTCTGCCCACCTTATCTCCCTCCACTTCCCCACTCATTCACTGCAGTGGTCACACTGACCTTTCTGACCCTTGTTCATTCCATTCCCATCTCCAGCCTTTGCACTTGCAGTTCTTACCGTTAAAGTGCTCTCTCTCTCTGGATCTTTGCCTGGATCCCTTCTTATTGGTTAAGTCTGAGCTCAAATATTGCTTCCTCCAAAAGGCCTTTCCTACTACCCTTGCTAAAACAGGACCCTCAATGCCTGAAGCCAATGGCTATTTAACCCTATTTTATCTTCCTCATAGCATTTGTCAACACTGGAAATAGTCTTATTGGTTTGTTTACATGTCTGTTGTGTGTCTCTCCACTAGATTGTAAACTTTCTGAGGGCAGAACTCTGCCTGTCCTGCTCACTGCAGTATCCCCAGTGCTTGGCACACAGTTGGAACAATTAATATTTATTTGCCTTGTTGCCTGCTGTGGCTTGTTTCCACTCTACCACTGCCTCTGGCTAATATGACTGCATCAAAACAATCTCTCCCTGGGATGTTTGTATTTTGGCAGCATTGGGCTATTTGTGCAAAGAGCTAACCAGTGGAATTTCAGACATCACTCAGCAGGTAAGGAATGACCATGTGTTTCTTTTACGGTGCCTTTAAAAGCACATGATTCATTCAGCATCTGCTTAGTCCTGAGTGCCATGGGTACATAACAGAGGGAGGAAAAGATATTTACATTATTCCTTAATTGATGAATTTGGATTGTTCAAGCCAAGAAAGGGGCGGAGAAGCAGGCAAAGACATTGCATGTAGGTGCTCAACTGTTTCATGAACTTGGTGTGGTGGTCCCTCCACCTTCTACCTACTGAAGACCTGGTGAGCCTGGGAGTCTGGGGATGGCAATCATGTGGCTCAGAGACGGATGGTAGAGTTGAAAAGCACAAATCATACCAATAAAAAAACCAGCTCACCCCAACACCTGTATCCATTTGTAAATTAAGGGAGATGGTGGTTTTCTCCCGGCAGTGGCCGGCTGTCTCTGACTTGACCTTTGTTTTTCTCCTCTCTCTGCTGCCCTAGGTCTCATCATTCATGAGGGACCCTCCGTGTACCGCATCTTTAAACGGTGGCAGGCTGTCAACCAGCAGTGGAAAGTGCTGAACTATGACAAGACAAAAGACCTGGAGGATCAAAAGGCAGGAGGCAGGACAAACCCCCGGACCTCCTCATCCACCCAGGCCAATATCCCCTCCTCTGAAGAGGAGGCAGCAGGCACCCCTGCCCCTGAGGAGGGCCCAGCCCGGGCCACCAGCCACCCCTCAGCTCCTCTGTCCCAACACCACTGTGCTTACACCATCCTGCACATCCTGAGTCACTTGAGACCTCACGAACAGCGGAGCCCCCAGGGCGGCAGCCGAGAGCTCGTCATGAGAGTGACGACGGTGTGAAAGGAGAGACTTGGGAGGAAGGCTGTGACCGTGCCAGAGAAGGAGGCTGGGCTGGGAGGGGGCCAGGGAGCAGGCAAGTGGAGTCCAGGTGGCACCCCAGGGGCCAGAACAGAGAGAGCAAGCAGAGGGTAGTGGGCCTTGAGGGAGCCGGGGAGCAGGGGCAGAGCTGGAGAGGGGCTGGCACCTGAAAGGGTTCTGTGATTTGCAGTCAGTCAGTGCCATTCTCCAACAACAATAGCAATGAAAACCAGTACAAATCAACAACAAAGTGCAATACGGTCTGAACCTAACCGAATAGAACAGAATCATCCAGGTGTACCCATCGGCAAGGCACAGGGTGAAGCAGAGGCTGTGGGTTGGCCTGGGTGGCATGGCGGTGCCCGCAGGCACATGTGCAGCAGAGAGGGAATGCAAAGGGGATTGAGGGGAAAAGCATGTGTCACCTGCTCTGTTTTAACCTTGAGTTTGTCTTTGTTTCTCCCTGGGCCATCTCCTGTGGCTGTTGGGGGTGGGGGAGGGACGGGTGTGGGCTGGCAGGGAGGACATATGCCTTTGGGCTTCTGGGCTCACCTGGGGGGGAGGGCAGGACTCACTGATTCAC